GTTTGTCTTAATTGCTGTTCATTTTACAGTTTCTAATGTTGACAACCAAGGAAGTAAGTTGTAGAAGGTCTAAAATCAGAACCCTATTGTTGAAGAAAGGAACAAATACTATACCATATTAGAAATATACTTCAACTTTGCATTTAAATATAATGTGTGACCATCATTTAAATGTTTAATAAAGGTAGTATTGACAAACATAAGTCCCTATGGAGATCATTCATGAAGTTGCTTTTTCAAAGATAGTAATTATTTTTTAACATTTTATTTATTCATGCACACAGAACTGGGTACCAGCCAGAAGTGGGAGGTGAGAGGATTCACCAAAGGCAGAATGGAGAACAGAATAGGCAGGTCTACTAAGATACACTGCTGAGGGAACAGTAGATGAGACAAGAGAGGTCTGCTGACCATGTGGGTCTCTTCCATGGCCAGGGATTAAACTCGTGGTACAGTGGCCATGGAGAGCTTCATAGTGCTGCAGCTTGCTTGACCCCTTGCACCACCAGAGAAGCCCAGGACTGCAAAATTTTAATGTAAAGTAATGAGATAAGAAAAAAAAAAAAAACCTCAAAGTTGAATTTGACATTCAATACATTTGAAAATGTATTTTGACTACAAACAGTAGTAAATTTTCCATTTACTTTCACATCTCTTAATTTTATTATTGAAATAATATAATACTTGGGGATTTTTTAAAAGCTATAGTCAGAATGAGGAAAAAGCTAAATGAATATTTTCTAATGGAAATAACATATTTGTAAACATTATGTTGCCATAAACTAGTTTTGAATAAGCAATTTAAATATCAGAACTGATTTAAAGTGATAAATTAAACGTTTATTTGTATTCCAAATAGTAGAAGACAGAAATCCCTAAAGCAAATAGGCCCACACCCACTTATGCATTCATAAAATACGTAGCTACACATCACAAGTCTTTGCTGCTTGTGCATTTGGAAAGACATCAACAACAACTAACAGTTGTAATTGATGTGCTCCAAGACTATTATTGGGCTTAATTTAGTTGTATTTATAAAATGTAGGGATCTATTTTAGATGCTAAACAGATACAACCTAAGATTTTTATAGATTGTAAATGACAAATTCACTTCACGAAGCATTAAATGGTACAGGTTATTTGAGAATATTGAGGCAAGTCTTGTGCTGAGTAGTTATTTTTAGATGGTTAAAAACAAGGTTTCCTTTGTTTTAGGTAAAGCATTCTTGCTCTAGCAGGTGTTCATTCAGTTCCTTCTAATTTTGCACCTCCTGTTTTCTGCCTTAGATACTAAGTTCCAATAATGGAGTTATTTAGCTCCCAGAAGTTACTGTAGTCAAAATAATATGAGTGGGTTGAACAGAGAATCAGATCTGAAAATAAAGTACTAAATGCATAGACACTAGCATCTGTATTTGTTTCACATTTTAACATGTCTTCAGTTGTTACATGTCTCACAGCGACTGGCATGAAAATGCTCTTCTTCCCTCCTTATTAGAGACATAAAGTAATTCATCTTAAAATCCACAGTGTCTTGGATTTAAAGATCCATGGTAACTTACCAGCTTTGCCATCTTTATGACCGTCTAGTCATAGGAGAAGCCATTTTATTCTCATCCAATTTGAAACCTCAGTGGTTGTACCTTACAATAAATTTCCTTAGCTTCATCAGCTGAAGTGAATTGAGCTTAGTGTAGAATGCTATAAATGATAGTACTTCTTACATCAAAATCCTTATACTTTGAACAGACACTTTATCAAGTGGCTGAGCAAACACCGCAGCTTCTGAAGTATTTGAAGAGCCATTGAATTTAAGAGTCTTCATGCCTTCACTGTTCTTTAATCTTATTAGTACAAGTCTTCAGAACATGGCTCTTCCTTGGTTCAAATTTAAGGACTTCGATTATAAAATAATGCTTAAAACTTCTTATCTACTTCAACCTGTTGATATATCAAATACTTAGGAAGCTCTTCAATTTGAGATAAAAGAAATCTTATTATTTTTAAATGATATCTAAAATGGATAGGGTACTACTTGATATCTTTTTCTTGAAGAAGGTTGATTAAAAGATTCTCTCATTTTATCATTATTTCCTACTATATTTTTACAAACTGAGCAAGGTAATATTTTGGTTCAATATTTTGTCTTTATTAGTAAAATGACCAAATGAATCTAAAATCAAAAGATGTAGCTAGAATAAATGCAGCCAGTCTTATATATTTGGTTTCCATAATAAATGCTAAGAAATCAATATTCTAACACCAATCTTTAAGATTATAATCAAATTAATCATTTAGATGAAATTCACTTTTTTTTTTTTTAGATTTATTTATTTATACATGCAGAACTGGGGTACAGGCAAGAGGTGCAGCGTGGTGAGAGGATTCACCAGAAACAGAGTGGGGAGCAGAGCAGGCAGATCAAGGAAGTACATTGCTGAGGGGAGCAACGGGCGGGTCAGGAGAGGTCTGCCGCGCCATGTGGTCACCTCCGGGGCAGGCGGGGATTGAACTCATGCGGAAGTGGCTTTAGCTTCTTTGTGCGGTGCTTTAACCCTCTGTGCCACCAGGGAGGGCCCTAGATGAAATTCACTTCATTTGCATTTGTTATTTCTGTTTTTCTCATCCTGGCCTCTTTGCATTTAGAATTGTATCCCTAGAATTAAACAGGTTTTTACACATGAAAACACTAGCTTATATTTGGCATAAAATGGGTACCCACTTACAGAGACTAGGGTATTAGGATCTATATTTGATTTGTATGGACACCCCAACTCTGCCACTAAACTGGTTGTCTTTTGTGCACAATTCATTGGAAATCTTACTACTTTTTTATATTCTTTATTATATATATATATTTTTTACATCATTCTTTATTTTGTACATTTTTCCATCTTGGTTGTAATCCCCGTGGACTTCCCACCACCAATTCACCCCTGTGCCATCACCATAGTCCTGTGCACTCTTCCCAACCCAGTTCTGATTCTATTCTCCGCTCCACCCCTGTAGAGTGTCTCTAGTTTATAGCTGTTAGTTGATTTTCATTTTTACTTTATTGCATTGCTTTTTTTCCCTGATCCCTTACACCCATGACTTTTTAAATGAATCTGCACTTATGAATCAAAAAATATTTACATTCTTTGAAATACAGTATCAAATGTTGAATAACAAAATTTAGTCCTCAAATCCCCATTCCCCTGTAACACATCTATTGTGATTATGAACCCACAGGATGGGAATTACTACTTCTTATAACATACTTGCTTTCTTCAGCAGTAATCTATGTTGCTAACCAGTAATTTAATAATTGCTACTCAATTTAAAAAGTTTAGTGTTCTAGAACATCCTTTAAATTATACTGTATTATTTCTTTGTGGATTTGTACAGTTATTAACTAAGCTGAAAGACAAAAGCTAAACTCAATAATTCTTTCATTCCACAATCATTCATTTAGTACATCTCTATCTGCACTATTCATATTTCACCCTTACATACACTGGTGTGCACAAATCACTGTCACCTCTCTTGAGGGATTTCTGTGCCCATTACTCATCCTTTGGATCTCATTCTCTCTCACAATTTTACTTTCTCACTTTCCAGCTGTCTTTTTTGTTCTCTCATTCTGTCTTTCCTTTAAAGACTAATATGCTAATTATCTGTTTGGAAATGAACCACAGCAAGCTGATTTTAATGACTCAATTGAAGTGAACTACTCCAAATGTTGTACGGTCTCTTATCCAGTGGGTCTTTAGGCGTGAAAATGATGAATTATTGTTTACCTGTGTGTATTTACAATATGATACATTTTTGCCATAGTGAGAGTATACAGACATTTCTGAGATTAAAAACACAACAAAGCACTCAAACCTATCTAGCTCTTAGGCTAGAAAAAATTAGTATTGCTAAGTATAGGTGAGTATGAACTTGTAAACTTATATTTTATTTTCTTGTATGCATGATATTGAAAACATGTTCAAGATGTGTGTACAGAATCTAATGCTAAGTTGTAGTAGATCATAACTGACACAGGAACCCATTTGTGGCATGGTGGCTAATATGTTTACATGGCCTTGTGAATAGCTGTGTAGCTGAAGGGCGAAAGTGAACAGCATTGTTCTGTGTCTTCAGACCATACATGAGTATTCGGTTTATTCCTGTGCTTTTCTTTAGTGACCAAGATCTAGAAAAGTAGAATCATTGAGAGGTAGAGAAGGAACCAAAGCCAGTATCAAATAAGAAATTATCAAAGGTTCTGGAGTGTTTAGTATGTATTTTGTGATATATTAGAAGATACATAGAAATACAATAGCTATTATTAGATATTTGAAAGGTTGCTGTAGTTGAGCTTTTTGAAAATAGTTGTCCTGGCCCTACCTGATGGTGCAGCAGGTTACAGCACAGCACTAAAAAGCTAAAGCCACTCAGCATGAGTTCAATCCCCACCCCGGAGGTGACCCGTATGGCGCAGCAGACCTCTCCTGACCCACCCACTGCTCTCTCAGCAGTGTACTTCGTCAGTCTGTCTGTTCTGCTCCCCACTCTGTCTCTGGTGAATCCTCTTACCACCCCTGCAACTCTGGCCTGTGCCCCAACTCTTTATGCATAAATAAATAAATCTTTAAAAAAATAAATAGCTGTCCTGAGTAGAAATAGTCCAAAGAAGTCACATTTCTGTTTGCAGTAGAGAATTTGTAACACATAGAATGGGTTGCATTAAGAGAAAGTGAGATTCTCTGTTAATAGATATATTCAGGCCCAGACTAATTGTTCATGTGGTGAGCTGTGATCTAAGGATAACAAGGATCCCATGAGAAGAGGCATGAACTGGGCAACCTAGAAACTCCTGCCCAAAGGTAAGAATCTCTGAAATATTAGAAAAGAAATGCAAACAAATGCACAATAAGGTAGGTGTTAAAATACATTGAAGTTGTTATTACAGAACATGTCAGTAGGTCTCATTCAGCCCTCAAACTGTTATGTATGATTCCTTAAGACTGTACATTCAAAATTGTGCTAGACTCAGATGCAGCAGAATATGGAGGACACCAGAGGCTGGACCACAGCACTGACTTCTTTTCTGAAGCTTTTGGCCATAATGAGCGGCCCTATTCACTTTTGGTAAGTAAGGTTTTTAACACATTTTTATTGCATTATATCATTCTGTATTTTTAAAGTGATATTTTTTCCTCAAGAAATAGCTCTTTAACAAGTAAGTGAATGACAGAAGGGGAAAACTGGAAGGATAACTAATAAGAAAGACATGCAGGGGTGCTGGGCTGAACTGGATTTTGGAAAAGTTAATATTAAGGGATATTAGCAGAGGGTTGGAGAAATTGGAATATTAATAGGATTAAAATTTACTTCTCAAAAAATAAGGAAGGCAGTTTTTAATTTTTCTTTTTATTATATTTCTATTTTAAGGCAACAATTTACTTTCTTCTTGTTCTTACTTTCTCTATACTATTTTACATCAAACAGCTTTCTACATTATTGGATATCTAATGAAGTTTAATTTAAAACACCTTAAAAGGATCAATAGAATATATGTCTTTTTATCATTTAATCATTGGAAGACTAAATTCATTCTAGTAATAAGATTCCTTGATTCATATGCTGAGAAATGCATGGTACACTACCTACTTTTAAATATGTGATGTAACAAATGAAAGAATATTGCCTTAAACTACTAGGCTTAAAATCTTTTGACATGTAGAATTTAGAATTGGTCTATGTTTAGGGAAATTTTTCTTTTAATTTATGACCAGATAATAAGATTGAGCCCACATCTACATTATTTCTTTTTCGTAACTACTTTCATGCCTGCCTCCTCCCCTCTCGCCTCTCCTTCCCTTTCTCCCTCCCTCCCCTCTCTCTCTCTCTCTCTCTTTTTCTCACTCATTTGCCATTTTTTTTTTTATTTCTCTATATCCAATATCCAGTCTGCGCTTGATATTTCATCATGGAAAATCTTGGATTAAGTTTTCTTTCACTTTTTTCTTTCACTTTCAGGGTATATCTAACAAATGCATAGCTTTAGTATAGATGTTAAATTCTCTGATATTTTCTAAAAATTTAGCTATAATTGAAGCATGAGATTCTGTGGGCCCATCATTTTTTGACTGTCTCCAACTCTCATTGCAGGACCAACATCTTACTGTGTAAGCTGCCACCAAATTATGTCCCAAACTGATGTGCCAAAGACAGTGTGGCATAAAACAATCAACCAAACCAAAAAACAAACAAACAAACTTAAAAGCAAGATTGAGTTGTTAAATAGAGGCTGTGATGAAAATATAGTAGCCATAGGAGACTTAACTATGTGTTTGTTGTATCCATAATGATAGTAATAAATAGTTTTATATGTAGATCTAGACACATGTATTTTAGGAGTTAGGGCTCAAGCTGCTAGAAGATTCTTTCAAAGGCTGATTGCTGTTGTTTTTGAGAACATCAAATTTGACTTGTAAAATGAGATTGATACAAGTATTTTCTGAAGTGAATAATAGAAGTATCTTAAAGCTGAGAAACTGTCAGGAAAGTTTTAGAGACCGTAGGTATAGGGAAGATGATTGAGTTCTCAAAGTGGAGTCATGGCAAACAGCATCCAAATGCAAGGAGATAAACTTGAGCCAATTGAACTGGACTGGAAGGGTCTGAAAAACTCAGACAGCAAAATTCTCATGCAGCCAACTTCCCTAAAGATACATATTTCCAGAGAGGGTTCTGTTAGGGAAAGCGTGCTATATAGTGAAAAGACCAAAATAAATAAATAAAATGTTGGGACAGGTGCTCCAAGCCACTATTTACTAGCTGTAGGGGCTTGATCCTCTGGTCTGTATAGAGAGGATCTGTATCCCTCCAACCAGAGATTATCTGGAGAAATAAATTAATGAGTAGTGTCAGGCTTTTTTGGAAACAGTAAAAATGCAATTCACATTTTTTTTACCATTAATATTGTCTTGGTTATTCAGTTCATTGTAATCATATCAAGACACCAAGTACTCTGAAAACAAACAAAGATACTCTACACTTTGGAGAAATTATTGCCATAGATGAGGGCTCACTATCTTTGAGAGTTGGTAGAAAATATTCTGGCATTCTTTTGATTTTACATGAGCAAAGATATTATGTCCCAAGTAAATCAACTAACCAGTGGCAGTCACGCCTGGAGATTACTTTTCAAGCACTAATTGAATTGATCTTACAAAATGGAATGTGCATTTTTAAATTAGCAGTCTTGATAACAGATAAAGCAATACAGCATGTAAGCACATGAGAAACTGCACAGAGCTTAACCATTGCCTATAATGGAATTCTGACCCAACTCAGTCAGAAAGGTGAAGATTAGCCATGACTTTCCAGCAGCAGGAAGAGCTGGTTGTTGATGATTCCAGGTGCTTCTGGAATTATTCATTTAAATAAGTCTTTAGGCTCCAGATGAAACGATACCCAAATAGAGCAGAAGATCTAAGAAGACAGGTATCCTTGTTGCCAGAGTTTTCCTTCAAAGAGCCAGAGGAAAAACTACATTATAAAAACATACATATTACAAGAATATACCTGTGAAGCCTCAGTATAATGGAACTGCTTCTAAAAGCACTTCACATGCACTTGGGACCAATCAGCATTCTTGAATGTGACCCTGAGTGCTGTAGGTCTCACCCCAACACCGAGGAGAATACTCTTCCTCGCACATGTCCAGAAGAAGGGGTGAAGTGTAGGCAAGATTGAACTTATCCCTATTCGATGGACTCTGCCCATCATAGCCTGTACACAGCATTTGCTAAAGCTTAATTTGCAAGCTCAATAATCCAAAGGATCTGCTGAATAAGTGTCAAATCTGTTTTCAAAGATAGCAACAAACAGAGCCCAAAGGAATCTTAAAATAGCTATACATGCTGCAGCATCAGCAGGTATAGTTCCAGTGCAGTCTTTATGTGCTCCATCGGTGGAAACTGTGAAGCCAGAGAACTGCCTATGTACTACCTTTGAAACATATTGCTAAAGTCGGAGTATGTTGCAAATGCTGAGAAGTGATAGGGCAGAACTTCCCCATTCTACTTTATAGAAAGGTATTGGAAACTTGAATTTAGCATAATCATCTCTCTGTTTTGATGTCTCATATGGGAACTTATTTATTAACCTATGTGTTTATCTGTGCACTAGAATATTCCATGGCACAAAGAGAGATTATTGTAGTTGAAATGAGTTGGTTTCCTAGTAAACTAAAGCAATACTTTCCTAAGCATAAAATTGTGAATAAAACAATAATTTTAATATTTACTTTGCTCTGAGGAAATATACATATGCATATATATAGAAAATATATGTATGCACAGTTAGAATTTAATACCTTTTTCATCTAAGTTACATTAGATAAAATATATACTTTATATTTTTACATTTTATTTAATGTAAATTACTACATTAGATAATATACTTTTGCCAAACTTAAATAGTTCTAAGAAAGTTTAAAAATTAGCCTTTAAGTTATTTTTATTTAAAGTTATTTAAAATTATTTTCAAATTACTGACATTTTTTTAATTATGTATTTTTGCAAGGCAATTATGATCCTACAATTACATAACATTTTGTTTAGATGACACAATATATACTGTGTGACAAGTTATTTTTTAGCAATACCAATGGTCAGCACAGTAACTGTAGATTAGCTGCTGTTTGACTGCCTTAATAAATGAAAAGGACTATACTATGGCATTCTGATTCCTTCTGAGGAGTTCAATATGAATTTAGCTGGAAGAAGTTAAATTCGTAGTCATGCATTACACTATCTCATGGATCCTTGATGCAATCCTCGCTACAACATATTTACAATTTAGTGCCTAATAAATTGGTATCTTTGATACAGTTGTCAATATATATAATCTGTAATGTCTGTCTACATGTTCCATGTACATGCACTTACATATAGGTTGTTTATATTTAAATATGCTGAAATATTTATGTTCAAACTACTTATATGTTCTTATTTTTCTCTTATCTATAAATCACACTTATTTTTAGAATTGAAATTATAAAATGAAAGTTGCAGAGCTAATACTTAGCACTAAATTATAGGGTCTCCAAATTGTTCATGTCTGTAATTGTCTCATCATAAGGATTAGCTCTGATTATCTTAAGTCCTTTAATATAATTGGTAGTCATTTCTTAACCACTAAGAATATTGATTTACATACTCAGAACCTCATAAAGAAGAAAACTCAAAATTTCATAGATAGCCATCATTAAGAAAAATTACTTGCTTGGGGAAATTTTTTCATATTGCATATACTGCAAGGACTCTAGAGCAACATAAACACATTCTGGTAATTAACACTGCAGTGAAAGTATATAATTAGACAATATTCCTGTTAATGACATTACACAATTATCAACTGAAGGTTTTTGAGCAGATAGTATTAAGAGGTCTCTAAGTATGTCTGAAATTGGCATCATAAAGCTCCTTATATAAAATGACCAGCATTATTTAGTGAGAGTTCTTGGAGCATTTTTTCAGCCATTAAATGTTAAGAGGAAACTCAGTGCATATATTGCAAGCCTTAAACTTTTTATGTCATTTCTTTTGTTTTTCTCTTAAGTTTGGACTAGTTAAAATATCAAATGATCACAAAGTAAGATTGTTTCTAAATTAATAGTTTATTATCTTTTATAGTTCCTTAATAAGACCACTATGAGATTTGGAATTAAACTATTAACACCTCAATAAAAAATAAATAATTAATAAAATTAAAGAAAAAAAAATGCAGTAGCTACCACAATGGCCTATAGTCCAAACAAAAGGTTTACTCATTTCTTCCTGATAGATCACCATTACATACATTTGGGCTACGCTCTGTGGACATATAGGAGTGTGCAAGATCAGAGAAATATCTTTAATGTAAAGGGAATTGAAATTCTGTTCAGTTTCTGACACTATTGAAAAACTTCAGGTTTGTCTTTTATTTTAGGTTGTCCATAATAGATCAGATCCTCTGCATTGGCTAATTATACCGAGTAACTGTGTTCTCCCAAGATAAACACATGGACTTGTATAAGTGCCTGTCAAACACTTAAGAGGACAAAGCAGGTTTGGATCTGTGCTTGCTAGTGTAAGATGTAGAGAAGAAGTTAGTTGAATCTGACTGCTGGTTCTTTTACTTCTCCTTTACTTTGGTTTGTGTTGCATTCATGTGTAACTTGATTATGGAAATAATCATTTTATTGCCCTGGATCTGCCAGGGTCATTGGTAATAGCTGTGCTTTGTCATGGGTACCTTCAACTACCTTTTGTTGAACCAGTCTCACACATCTTAGCCATCATAATCAGAAAATATTGAACAAAAGGGATAGTGTTAGTCATTAAATTCATGCTGTATTCAAAACAAGTATAAGTAAACAAATATGTGGTATTGAAAATGCATGGATTCCCCACAATTTATCAATGCAAGGAGGTAAAATTTATCTTTTGGAATAACTGGCTCACAAATGTGACTGTAAGACTATAGCTGCTGATTATGAAACATATTTCCTAAATAACTATTAATTTTTTTTAAGATTTATTTATTTGTGCATACAGAACTGGGGTACAGGCCAGAGGCTCAGGGGCGATGAGAGGCTTCACCAGAGACAGAGTGGGGAACAGAACACGCAGATTGATGAAGTACACTGCTGAGGGGAGCAGTGGGTGGGTCAGGAGAGGTCTGCCACACCATGTGGTCACCTCCAGGACAGGCGGGAATCAAACTCATGCGGAAGTGGCTTTAGCTTCTTAGTGCTGTGCTTTAACCCGCTGCGCCACCAGGGAGGGCCTTAAATGGTGGCATTTCAAGAAAATTATTTCATGAATGGAACAGCTAGAGAATAGCTTTTCTGATCTTCAATTAAAAGTTAATAGTTATTGGCAATAAGAAGCTAAAGCCACTTCTGCATGAGTTCGATTCCTGCCTGCCCCGGAGGTGACCACATGGTGTGGCAGACCTCTCCTGACCCACCCGCTGCTCCCCTCAGCAGTGTACTTTGTAGATCTGCCTGTTCTGCTCCCCACTCTGTCTCTGGTGAAGCCTCTCACTGCACCTGAGCCTCTGGCCTGTACCCCAGTTCTGTGTTCACAAATAAATAAATCTTTAAAAAAGAAAAAAAAATGCCACCATTTAAAAACTCCTTTAACATTTAAGGTTCAAAGCTAAGCAACTTCAGTGTATCAGATATTTTTAAGAGTTGTAAGAGTTCTTTATCAAAGAAACCTCCAGGGAAAACTTGTATTCATTTGTAGGATTGAGATACTCTAGACACAAAATAGTCTTGTTCAATGAAAATCAGCTGTTCTGTTCTTTTATTTATTTATTTTTCCTAAAGCCAGGTTTATTTTGGGTTTTTCATTCTAGTCATAGACTCTGAAAGCATTTTTCTTCTTTTTTCTTATTAGACCATCAGTTAAGCTTTCATTTAAAGTAAATGAAAATTGTAAAACATTTGCAAAGTTAGAAATGGAGACATACTGTCATAAAGTGGATAGAAATCTGTAATTTTTAGTGTTTGCTTAGTTAATAATAAAGTATGCACAAAATACACAGAGATTAGCATCAAATAATCCAAGATATTTTCAATTTTTATAAAAATATTAACATGCAAGCAGACTAAGGAATGTCTTATGAAATATTCATAATCGATTACACCATTTTTTATGTCTTTATTTACTCATTTTACCCTTTGTTCTGTTATCCAGTCACATTGGCATCTACTTTGTCCATTCAAACCTATTAAGTGTTAAAAATATGAAGGCAAGACATGCAGCTTCTGCTTCATACAGCCCATAGCCCTGTGGAGAGGGTAGATTATAAACCTCAAGAAAATCTCAATTAGTTTTGGGTCCAGAAAGAAACAAAAATGGTGCTATGAAAGAAGATGAGATAGAAAACTACTATGTTTAATGTCAAGGAATACCACCCATGGATCAGGATTTTTCAGGTTCTAAGAGGTTCAGTAGCTAGTAAGAATGATTGAGGAGAGGGCGCGGTATGGGCAAAGACTCAGAGGAAGGGAAAGTGTGGAAAGGAACTAAAAGGTCCTGTGGCTAAAACCTGGGGTGAGAAGAGAGAAATGGTGAACCCAACCAAGAGGCTTTCAAAGAACTGAGTCAGGGTACTGAAGGGTATGGGATGTACATTGTATTTTAGTACAGTGACAAGATTTTTGAGTAGTTTAAATTGGGGAGGGACCTAAAATACACCTAAGGCCCATAATATTGCAATCAAAATTTTAATATTAAGGTAATAAGTAACCATGTCTGATGGAAAGCAGAGTTTGTATAATACTTTCATTCACCTGACTAGAATAACCTATGAACTGGAGAGCGGCCGTCCTTCACCAGCTGAGCATGCTTAAAGAGTACCATTTACATCTCTAGTGTCTAAAAAACCTTGTTTTTTGTAAAGCCTGTGGCACCTTCCAGGGATGATTACTTTAAATAAGTCTTCCATGGATCCCAGAACTGTGGCATCTGTCTAAATTGAGCCTCAGAATGGAACCGTAGAGATAAAACTTAGGCAAATGTGAGGCTGCATCTTGCCTACTTGACACAACGAAGCCATGTGTACTGTCTTTCAATGGCACTGACATGATTGTGTTGACATAGGTGTACATTCCTAGCCGAGTGGCCCTCGTCCTTCAGAATGTGGACCTGCCCAACTGAGGAGACCAGATTTCAGCTCCACTGGAGGAAGACGTGTGCTCATTTACCATTCTCAGTGTCACAGAGCTTATGAGGTGTAAGCTTTTCAAAATGCACTTGTCTAGCTACAGCGTCACATATCTGTACTTACACATTGGTTTATGTAAATGAATGTCAAGTATTTCTTTAAGAGGTAAAAAAGAGGATATTTTTAAAATTTCAGGTACCTTACACTATATTTTCCAGCCATCGGAGCAGTTGGAATTCTTAGATGCAGTATTATACGTAATGTCATTAAGCAGTTTTACTCTCTTGGTCAATTATTTGAGCCTTTCAAATTCAAATTTGGTGTTGTGTCAAGTGTGATTATTTCAGTTGAATTTATGCAATATTTTTTGTTTTAATGGACACTTAATTGCTTTGTTTGGTCTGATATATTTTGGTCTAAATTACAAGATATCAAGATTGTTTTCTGACTTTCAAATTATGTTTAGAAATACTGTAATAAATATGTAGTAATAATATAAAATTCAAAACTATAAAAATAATATAAAAGTCATTATCTATGACTCATTCATGCTTCATTTGGCATGAATGAGTTTTATCTTCTGATCACTTACTCGGTATCTTGGTAAATGCTGATATCATAGACTTTCTGAAGTTCTAAATTGGTCATTGTAACATTTCCGAAAATTCTTTTACTCTCAATAAATGAAAATATCCAAAATTGCCTTTGCTGATGTCTGTTTTGCTCTAAGTAAGGATGTTTGTTAGATTATTAAAATGTCTTATTTCAACACTGACACCTTCCCCACACATAGGGACATGTATGCTCTGTCTGCATGCATGACAGAGCAGGAGGCATGGGGATTTGTATTTTTTTCTTTAGTTGCCATTGTGTGACTTGAAATTTGTTTTGTAACTTAATTTTAGGCTTAGATAACTAAGCTACTCTCCAGCTATAAACCTAAGCACTTTTAGAAGGTGAATTAACTCTGTCAACTCAGTTGATATGCAATCATGAATTTGCTCCTTGGTTAATTAAATAGTAGTTTATAGGTCTAAAATCATTGCATAATTAATTCATAACTGAAAGATGAAGCACTTAACAGAGATAGTATGCCATTTTTTGAAAGTTCTAAATTTTTCCTTTACATTAATACTGCTTTTATCATTTTTAACCTAATTATTTGTGATTAACTAGAAGTACAGCTGATCCTCAAATGACTAACATTGCTTAACATTGTTCTGTTATAACCTGGTGAGAAAAAGCAAATCCTGCCAACATTGAATGAAACAACATTCATTCGGGCACCTGCCTTTTTTTTTTTTTTTTTATGTCTTTCAAGTCACATTTTCTTTCTTATGGACATGAAAAGTACTGTACATGGATATCTTTCTATTAAAAACATATGCAAGGCCCTCAGTGGTGGTGCAGCGTTAAAGCCCAGTACGACTAAGCTAACTGCAGTTGCTACAGCACAAGTTTAATCTCCAGACAGAGAGGTGAACCACATGGCACAGCAGACCTCTCCTGACCTGCCCGCTGCTCCCCTCAGTAGTGTACTTCATCAGTCTGCCTGTTCTGCTCCTCACTCTGTCTCTGGTGAATCAATCCTCTCACCACCCCTGCATCTCTCACCTGAACCCCAGTTCTGTATAAATAAATAAATCATAAAACATACATATATTTTTTATTTATATAAATTTACTATAATTTATGTGTGTGTGTGTATATATATATATATATATATATATATATATTAGACTTTTAGAGCTAAACCTGTATGTGAACAATTATTCTTACAACTTTTTTGAGTGCTGTCCAGTAAGTCGGAAACGTGTTGTTTTAACTTAAAAGTGTAATAACAGTTTGACTATCTGAAAGAATCAGCAATGTTAGCTGATGACCCACACAAGGGAACATGGTTAAAAGCCTTGTGTGATGTTTCCCCTGTTACAGGGATGTTATTAATATCTTAGCACCATCATGATGTGAGGCCCTTGCCTGTTACCAATGACGAAATGAGGAACAATCAAATACCTCATGTTCTAATTTGCAGTTCCTTAGCTTTGCATTTCTGATGTTTGAAGAGATATGCTGGTTCTCTAGTGTGGCTCTTCAACAGTGACAAGTTGCTTCACACCTAGAATCTGTTTTCTTTCCATTGTGAACTGGTGACAAAATCAAAAAGGTCAGATCATTAAGTGCCATCTTTTCATTTTAAGCTTTCATCTAAATAGTGTAGTCTTTAGATTTTTCAGTCTAAAACTAGAATTGAACAATGTAGTAAGCTAATTGCCTGTGCTGAAGTATTTTTGCCAAGAAGGGCAATAAATACATGTTGCTAGGTAGGATTATAAAAATATATGCAATATATGCAAAAAATATATGCAAAATATATTCAGTCCTAAAGAGCTGAGGTTTTTTTGGATATTCAGTCTAGGTCTTCATTTTTGTTTTAGTATCATTTACTTCATGTGGTAGGAAGTTCTTTTTGTTGTTTAAAAATTTTCAGTGCTATCTCCCTTGTAGTGAGGGGTCACACTCTCTGTACTATCACACTGTCCCAAGCCACTGAGGCCAGGCCGGAGTTCAATGCCCAGCCAGGCTCACATGGCACAGCAGCTTCTGCCTCACCCACTGCTCCCCTCACCATTGTATTTCAGTCAGTCTGCCTTTCTGTTCCCTACTCTGTCTCTGGTTAGTCCTCTCTCCCCCTCCACACACCTTTGGCCTGTACCCCAGTTCTTCTATGCATAAATGAACACATTTTTAGGAAAAATAAATTAAAATTTTCAGTAATCATGACCTAGGTACAAAATTTTACTCTGTATCTGATAAAGTGTTTTAGTTTTATCTCTGATGTGTTTATTCATGCTTTGCTGCAGTTGCTAGTAATAAATATGTTACCCAAGATAAAATTTACTCCAATGCTAATGATGTTTAATGCTTTAGTTTACTATCAGCTCACTTAGAAAATACAATCATTTTTTAATAATCAAAACTTGAATGCTAACTACCTTCGTGAAATGTTTCCTTCTTGGTAATATTTGAATTCTGAGGGTCAACTCCTTTCATATTTTCTCTATCATTGACATTTCTACATTTGCCCTGTTCTTAGCTGATATATTGTTAACATAGAATGAAGGACTTAGCCACCATTTTCAAGTTCAGAAAATGACCAGTGGCAATTAATCGACTTCTCTCATGCCAGTTGCAAAAGAATGTGCTTATTTCCCCTCTGTCTCAAGCACTCCCCTTAGCAATATCAGGCCAGCATTTGTCAACCATCAGGTTACAGGCATTACTGAGAGGCTCATACAGAAGGTTGTCTGAATCAGAAGCCTATTATTCAGGCAACACAGAAGCGATTGCGGACAGATTTGGGGGCAGCAAGGAAGGGTAATGTTTTTCTTCCTCTCGTGTTTGGCCTGCAGCTTCAGGGCAAATATGTTTTCACTGTCTCTGATCCTGCAGCCAGTGAATCAGGTAATGTAAACAACGTAAAATAGGTTTGCTCTTATGTTTACTGTTTAGAGCAAGACAGGGCAGACATACCTGATGGAAACCAAACCACCAAAGCAAGCAACCCTGGCTGCCTTGCTCTCAGACTATTTCTTTGTGTCCATTTTGTCAGGTCCTGAGCTGCAGTTCTTTCCATTGGTGGGTTTCATTAATCTATATATTTCTTATAGAGAGGCAAGCACTGAGCTGTGAACTTTGCTAGGTAGAATATTTTGATGAGAGGAGATAGAAATCTAAGGATAGCAATGCCATGTCCTTTATTCAGCACAGTTCATTCATCATCCACAATGTGTTAGAATCGAAATGTGGATAAATGTCACCACTAAAACCAGCCTGGGGTGAGGGGAAATCAAATGAACTCCTTAGTGATTCATTTGCTCTATCATCTTATTAATGGTGATTTGTAAAGAATAGGAGAGAAATATTCATACTTTAGGGCAGAATTGCGTAACTGTTAATGTGAAGAATTAAAGTAGCTATAATTGTTTTTTTCTCTCCATCATGTAAAATACTACATCTGGATTTCAACTCCTGGCAAAAGTGCAAAGAAAGTAATGCTTTATATACATGGAAAACAGGCATTTTTGTGATAGATACACTCAAAGGCAAGTCACTGACAACGTTTACTTAGGACTTCAAGTTTTTCTTGTCATTTTTGCTGGAGCAGAGAAGTGTTTGAACCTCATTTATGTTCTGTTTGTGTTTCACCTAGAAGCCTCTTCATGTTTTAAAAGAATAACTTGAGAAAATGTTTCAAAGTTCTGGGTTCAAGTTGAAGTCTTTATTTCTGGTGCTTTGTTTTAGAAAGTACGAGGTGACTCTTAGCTTCTCTCCAGGGTTTCAAGACAGTTAACATAATAGGGGTTGGGAACATCCTCGCTGGCTGTATAAATGAGACAGCTTTGATCAGTCCCTGTGTGGATGGCAGAGTCATAGATAGGAGACATTTTCTCATTTTTTGGTTGTGACCATTCTGTCATCATCTGGTTCCAGAAAGTTTTCCCTCCTTCCCCAGATAAGGAGGCTTGGGCTGTATTTCTTTAGTGGAGCGCACTAGTTTATCCCAAGGAAATCTGTTCCCGTGCAATCAGGGCTGTCAGACATTGCATTTACATAATCCAGGCTCCTGAATGCAAGCTCACAGCCTCTTCCCTGGAGCCAATAGGCAATGTAAGCTGTTTATGAGGGGAAACAGCTACAGGGTTCTTCCAGACAGGTTCAAGACTTTCTAGCTCTTTCCCTCTTCCTCCCCTGCTCACAGCCCAGGATTGTCAACCTATTGGTAGAAAAAATAAAATTGCAAACAAGATTCATAGGTTAGGAACATATAGGTCTATCATTTTTAGGATTGAAAGTCTGGGTGCTCATCAGAAACGTATCTAAGTAAATGTTCAGGTAACTATTAATTTCTTAAAGAAGGGGGAAGTGAGGAAATCGTTTTAATTTCTCACAGTTTTCTCTACTTGCTATACAGCAATGCAAAGCAGAAAACTAACCAAAAAATCTATCACACTAAATTACTTCGCTATATGAGGATATAATTTAAATGAGGTAAGTGTTCCAATTGTTTGTGCATAATTGTCAAAGGTAATGCAGGGTATAGAAAGCTGTGCATGTGCAGATAAGCACATCCAACACATATGTTTATGTATAGCATCTGCATGAGCATGTGGGTTTTCACAGGTATAGATTCTGTAAGTAAAAAACCCTCAAAGTTCACTTATCCAATATTTCTCCTGAACTAATGAATTGCTTGATCTCTGTTGTACTCAGTTTTCAGTACTTTTTCTGATCATTTTATGAGTACCAAATCTAAACAGGTGATTTTGTTTGGATTTAATAAAGTCTTTAAGTTTTGGATAAAATATAAAATATATGTTTCATTGTCACTTAACAGAATTTATTATCTTAAACTATATGATTAGACATTCACTTCTAGAAAGAAAGGAAGGGTAAAATGAAATACCTTTATTTATTTTTATCCATTAGAATCTTTTTTTTTTAAAGATTTATTTGTGCATACAGAACTGGGGTACAGGCCAGAGGCTCAGGGGTGGTGAGAGGCTTCACCAGAGACAGAGTGGGGAGCAGAACAGGCAGATGGATGAAATACACTGCTGAGGGGAGCAGCGGGCAGGTCAGGAGAGGTCTGCCATGCCATGTGGTCACCTCCGGGGCAGGCGGGAAT